AGTGTTTTATTTAATTACAAATTGTAAAAATATTGATGGTCTTTACAACACCGCCCCCCCTCCCAGCCCCGTTTGGATATCCTGCCCAGCTTCAGAGCTCCGGTGGCTACGAGCCCTCTGCCCGTGGAGCCAGCCCACTCTTGCAGCGGGCGGGGAGAAACGGGCAGCATTCGGAGCGGGCACCTCTCCTGCCTGCTGGCCTCGGTGGGAACGGCCCGGACTGGGCAGCAAGGAAATGCTCCCCCACCCCTCCCCTCTCTGGCCTCCCCGCTGCTGGCAAAGCCACAATCCGGCCAGAATGGGGAAGTGTCAAGCGGTAAACCCTCACACATGAGGCTGGACAAACAAATGCAGTCTGCCGTGATCTACTTTAAAACACACACACACGCACGCTTTCTTTTGAGGTGGGGCATCCAATCAAGAGGACAATCCAACATGCCGTCCGGCAGAGGGGCCGGCTGAAGACACAAGGGGAGAGTCGCTCTTTCCCACCGGGAGCTTGGCCAGGAGGGAAAGGGGAGGCTTGCCTTGGCGTCGGGTCATAACAGGAGCGGCACCCGCCCTTACAGCCATGGGCAAAAAGCCGCCTTGGGGACAAACAGCCACATCTCGTGGGAAGTGGGCAAGCCGGCAGGAGAATGGCCGACTCCTTCCCGGAGAGCGTTGCTGCCTGGGGGACGGGAACGCGCCAGATCACATGGGGTAGTTCAGAACCACGTCCTGCTTGGCCAGCTCCAGCAACATGGGGTCGTCGAAGAACTTGCTGATGCTCACGTCTTCGCTCAGGCCCTGAGGGAGAAACCGGGGGACGGCAAGCGTTAAACCTGGGCGGGCGGGGAGGGGGGAAGATGTGATGGCGGGGAGAGCAGAGGGCCCGGGAGGCCAGCTGGCCCCTCGCTTCCGGCACCTTACCTTCCTGCGCCTGGTCTTGATCATGAACTCTCTGGCCAGGTGAGGGGCGGGCTGGGGCTCCAGCGGTCGGATCACGATGCTCTTGTCCAAAGGATCGCCCGGCACGATCTGGAATGCAGGGAACGCCAGGTGATGGGTGAAAGGACCCTAATTCCCTTGCCCCCACAGGCCCATCTGGGCACACGGAGAATCCATCACTGGCCCTGCCAGGAGAGGGATGGCCCACAGAGTTATGCGGAGTCCCTTTTCAAACTATTATTTGTGGAATGGAATACCACACCCACACCACCACCAGTGTTCCCTCTAAGCTGAGTTAGTGTGAGCTGGCTCACAGGTTTTAGGCTCTGGCTCACACATTTTTGTCTCGGCTCAGGAAGGAGGGCTCCAGAGCAAACTGATCTATGCAGTAGCCAAATCGCTTGCTCACAACTTTAATGGCAGTAACTCACAAAGTAGTATTTTTGCTCACAAGACTCCACAGCTTAGAGGGAACACTGACCACCACCCCCGGGATTCCCCAGCCAAGGTGGATTTTGCAGAATGGATCGAGCCGCCAAAGACGACTTCTTTTAGTTCGCTGGCAAGGCAGGATATAAATCGGAATAAATAAATAAATGAATAAATAAAGCAAGCTTCCTCCTTCCTCTGGCCACCAGCTCTTACAGCTGCACCTGTGTTAGCAAGCGCAGGTGTGCCCCTGTGAAGGATTCATGTGGGCGGGAGAAAGAAAGGAGCAGGAGGGGGACGCAGGCGCTGGTGGAATCTGGCTGCTGACGCTTTCCCTGCCCGGTACGCAGAAGGCGTCTCGCCCTGCTGCCGCCGCCGCCAGCACCTCCGCAGCCTCAAAGAAGGAGAAGGAGAGAAGAGGGGAGGGGCAGACCAAGCGGGGTTCCCACTCAGAGAGCAAAGTGGGTGACCCGAGCCAGTGTGGCGCAGTGGCCGAGAGTGGCAGACTGTGACCTAGGAGATGTGGGTTCAAATCCCCACCCTGACCTGGAAGAGTGCTGGGCAATCTTGGGCCAGCCACACACACACACACTCAGCCAAGTCTACCCCACAGGGTTGTTGTGAGGAGAAAATGGAGGAGAGGAGAATGAGGTCAGCTGTTTTGGGGGCCCATGTTTAGAACGACCCCAGGATTCCCGGGTGTGTGTGTGTGTACCTGAAAGCCTCCAAGAGATTAGGTGACCAGTTGGCCTCGATTCAATTGAAATGTTCAATTCCTGATGACCTATTAAGGAATAAAACTCAAGCACGGGAACTGAAGGAATGGGTGTTCAGAAAGGATGGGCTTATGGGTCAGGAAGGATGTGATGGCACGTTGTCTTACAGCACCGTTATTCAAGTTTTTTAAAAGGGATCACTGTAGGTCCCTGTATTTGGAGACGTTCACCAGCCTGGAATTAAGATCGGCTTCTACAGCTTTAAGATTTCGATCCATGCCCTCAGTGATCAGGACTGGACGTTTCTTTGGTATCCCTGCCCCCCCCCCCTTTAGACTTTGCCTTTCTGATATGGGGGAAGTTGATGATATTGTACATTATATCCTGAGCTGCCAGTGGCATGAAGCCCTTACGCTAAAGGACATCATCCCTATTATTCCGCAGCGTAATGGACTATCCCATCTGGATCTGGTCAAATTTTTACTCTCGGACCTTGACCCCTATGTCTCTAGCAGAATGGCGTTATTTGCCTTAGCAACAAGGAAAATCAGAATGAGTTTAGTATTGGAAGCAGGATAGAATACCTGACAAATGGGAATGGATACAGAAAGTCCTATTTATGGCAGAAATGGACAAATAAACAAAGAAACTGAATAATAAAGAAGACAAAGAATTTTTTGAAGAATGGAAAGACTTTAAAGAATATTTAGAAAATAACTGGGATGTTAAAAATACTTTACTTTGTTTAGACAACTATTAAGGGTTGAAACACAGAAAGGCTCGAATTGTATAAAGTAAGATTGTTACCTTGAAACGTAAAATGAAAATGGGAAAGAGAAAAATGGAATTATATAAGGGGAGGGGAGGGAGAAGCATTGCGGGAAGCCACCAAAAAGGGGGAGGAGGAGATAAGAGAAACGGATATGAAATTAAAGGAATGTAATTTAATGTTGAATATGTTATATCCGAAATAAAAGTTTTTGAAAAAAGAAAAAGAAAAAAAAAAGAATGAGTTTAGTATTTAATGCAAAGCAGAAGGCGTATTGGAGTATACTGACATTTGTTATTGTTTACATTACCATTTTATAGTCTGATGCATTATGTTATGGCCTATGGCTAAGACAATAAATTTATACCCGCCTAGTATGTAAGTTGCTTTGGGCTCCCCCCTGGGGAGAAGGGAGGGGTAGAAGTGAATAAATAAATTCTGTGAATGTGTGAATAATAAAACACTCATTAGCATAATCCAGGATGCAGAACTGAGCCCTCCTTGGCACAAACTTTGAGGCCCAATGTAACTTTTGTTGGGCACAAGACGGACACTCCCAGCTGCACAAGTCAGTCACATGTCCCGCCCCTTGGCTTCCTGCTGGGACAGGAAGAGCCTGCCTGTTCCCAATGAAACAAGACGGGTCAGGAGCCGGGAGTGTCGACCGGCCTACTTGTCTGCCTGCTGACCAGCCTTCCTGCGCCCTTACCTGCCAGTGGTGGAAGACTGAGAGAGAGAACGCTTGCCCCTGGGTGTGTGTCCTGAGGTCTGTCTCAAACCCAAACGAGTCGATGGCCGGGATGAAGGCTTTGATGGTGTACAAAGGGGAGCCGGGGATGGGCGCATCCTGGGTGACGTGCCCTCTGCAAGAAAACAAAGGAGTCTCAGTTCCCCCTCCCAGTGACAACACTTGCGCCTCCAGGGACAGCGCAGGAGCTCTTCCGTGCTTATTACAGGGCAACCAAAGACAAAAGGGCGAAGGCCCGCCGAGAAGGCACACAGGGGCATCTGTGGCATAAAATACAGGAGATAAAAATTGCCTTTCTGAGGTCTGTCAGACTCTGGGACAAAGTTACCCTCAACAACACTCACTGGCGGTGATTTGTTTATTGATGAATAAAGATGTTCCAAGCTCAAACCGACACTGTGTCAGAACTGGGGTTCTGGCGCCAAAATCGGTAGTTATAGACAGTTCAAACAAGCCCCTCCCCCCCGGGGTCCCGTCCAATCACACCTCACAGCCGCCCTGCCTAGCTTTCACGCACTCCACACCCCCCACCTATAAATATACCATCACTTTATCTATGACAGTGAAGCAAGCACAGGCAGTGTTTCAAGGTCGTCTCAGCATTAGGGAGGTATCTTAAGGAAAGTTACATCGCTGCTACAGCAGGGCATTCACTCACTCACTCACTCACACCCCTCCCTCAGGGATTTCCCACAAGACATGACAGTTCCGAGTTGGACACCTGGCCCATTTCGGTGGCTGCTACTTGTGGGGACAGGACGGGGAAATGTGAAGCACAGTCACACAAACTGTGGACTGTCCCATTACTACATGGTGCAACAGAGAGAAGATGGAGGGGGCTTTTCCATCCCTGGGCACACATTTAGGTCCAGTCTTAGAAACATACAAAGCCTGCACATAGTTCCAATGGCCTGGTTTCATTATTCGTAACACTTATAAATCCCCCCATTTGCCTGAGGGCATCCAAGGCCAAGGGGCCACGGTGGCTCAGAGGTTAAGACGCTGAGCCGCAGACTGGAAGGTCGGTAGCGCAGCAGTTTGAGACCTGAGTGCCGCTTGACGGAGTGAGCTTCCGTCTCTGGCCCCAGCTCCTGCCAGCCTAGCAGTTCGAAAGCAAGAAATTGCAGGTAGATAAATAGGTACAGTTTCGGTGGGAAGGTAACAGCGTTCCGTGCGCCTCTGCGTTGAGTCATGCCGGCCACATGACCACGGACAGCGCTGGCTCTTTGGCTTGGAAACGGAGATGAGCACCACTCTCTAGAGTCGGATTCGACTGGCTTTCGAGCAAGGGAAACCTTTGCCTTACCTTTTACTATCCAAGGCCAACTTTCAGTCTCTCTCACCACCATCACCCCGACAATAAAACTATGTTGCACAGAATGCACGGGCACAAAGAGACCCGACCCTTGGCCACTGGCAAATCCCAGTGATGGGAGTCTGGCAGGCTCAAAGCAGAGGGCATCAGGGCTGAGGCAGGCAAGGGGTACCCCCCCCCCTTTGGCAGTCAGACTGACCAGGTGTTACAAAGGGAAATACAAAGGGAGAAGATGAGAAAGATGTGGTACTTATGTCTCTTTCTTGCACACGGGAACAGGCACTCAGCTTTTATTTTCATTTTACTTATTAGGGTTTTTTTAGTCTCCACTCACCCAAAAGGGTCTCGTGGTGACTTGCAACATTAAAACCATATAAAGGTAAAGGTTCCCTTGCTCGAAAGCCAGTCGAATCCGACTCTAGGGTTGCGGTGCTCATCTCCGTTTCAAAGCCGAAAAGCCAGTGCTGTCCAAAGACATTTCCGTGGCCATGTGGCCGGCATGACTAAACACCAAGGCGCACGGAACGCTGTTACCTTCCCACCAAAGTGGTACCTATTTATCTACTTGCAATGTCTTGCTTTCGAACTGCTAGGTTAGCAGGAACGGGGACCAGAGACGGGAGCTCACTCCGTCATGCGGCACACTCGGGTCTCGAACTGCTGAACTACTGACCTTCCACAGCCTGCAGTTCAGCGTCTTAACCACTTGAGCCACCGCAGCTCCAAAACCATATAAGGTAATAACAAAAATGCAGAAACCACAAGATGAATACTGTGTATAAGTCGTTTGCCTCAGTTAATATACAATAAACTCCAACGTTTACATTAAAAGTGTATTCTTGTATTTCTTATTCTGACATCACAATCTTGCAACAGCTTCCAAATTTGTTACATATATTCCATAAATTCACATAGATACACAAGAGGCAAGCAAAATACTCTGCATTAGCTCACAAAGTAGAATTTTTGCTCACACGACTCCACAGCTTAGAGGGAACATTGGCCAGGAGATCTGAAGATTGTCTGGCAGCCTGAAGTTCTAGCCCGTTATGCACCACTAAAGTGGCGAGCTAGACTTATTTTTTGGCCTGAGAGAGCTCTGAGAGAGCTGTGACTGGCCCAAGGTCACCCAGCTGGCTTCATGGGGGGGAGGAGTGCGGAACAGAACCCGGTTCTCCAGATCGGAGTCCGTCATTCTTAACCCCTACACCAGGCTGGCTCACCCCCATATAAGGCAAAAACAACAAGTATGAAATATTAACATTAAAATATGTGGCCAGACCCACACCTCATAACGCCAAGCTAAACAATTCAGCCTTGCCTGCCGTGCGGAAACTAAGCAAGTCCGGCAGGGCACGGGTGTCATCCAAAGATGTATTCCACAGGGCCGGGGGGCCACAACTGAGGAGGACCTTCTCGTGGCGACAGCCAAGCGAGCCGTCCTGGGGCCAGGCACCTGCAAGAGGCCCCGAGACGACGGCCGAAGGGAGTGCGGTGCCTTGTGACGGGAGAGGTGGCGTGAGGGCCTGTAGGTATGAGGGTCCCAGATCGTTCAAGGCTTTAATGGTGAACACCAACTCCTTGAACTGGATTTGGAGACTAACTGGCAGCCAGTGCAGCTGTTGCAGTACCGGAGTAATATGGGCTGACCGTGATGTTCCAGTCAGCAACCCGGCAGCTGCATTCTGGACCAACTGCAGCCTCCAAAGCATTTTCAAGGGTAGGCCCAGGGCTATTTTCGGGCAGGAACGCACAGGAACGGAGTTCTGCCTGGCTCCCGAGCTGGCCACGCCCAGCAGGAACTCATTAGCATAATAGGCCACACCCAACAGCAGAAACGCATTCGGATTGGCTACATTAGGGGTGTGTGGCCGAACATGCAAAGGTGTCCCTGCTACAAAAAAAGGCCCTGGGTTTTGACAACAAACAAGGTAAATAGAATAAGAAGCAAAAGGTGGGTGTGGCTGGATGACCACACTCCTGGTAACATGGCCTAATGTGCTAATGAGCTGTGCTGTCAGGGTTGTGGCCCAATATGCTAATGAGTTTCTGCTGTTGGGTGTGGCCTATTATGCTAATGAGTTCCTGCTGGGCTTTTTCTACAAAGAGAGCCCTCGGTAGACCTATGTAGTCCAACCTGGGGGTGACCATTGCACGGTCCAGTGTGGCAAGTCCTAACCCAGACAAATAAGGAGCCGGCTGGCAGACCCGAGGAGGTAGGTGGAAAAACGCCGACCGTGCCACCATGGACACCAGTTTATCCAATGACAGTGCGGAATTCTGCCACACACCCCCAAGGCTCTTTACGGAGTCTACCGCTGTCAGCTGGACACCATCGAGTCCCGAGACTCACCCTCCAGCTAGCAGGTGTCTCATCCAGGAAAACCTGGACCTGCTCCGCCCCTGCTCACTCCATGACCTTCCCCGGAAAAGGTAGATTAGACACTGGACACTTTCCCCTCCACGCTCTCTCTCTCTCTCTTTTTTTTTGGGGGGGGCATATGGTCAAAGCAATGGTATTCCCAGTAGTCATGTATGGCTGCGAGAGTTGGACTATAAGGAAGGCCGAGCGCCGAAGAATAGATTCTTTTGAACTATGGTGCTGGAGAAGACTCTTGAGAGTCCCCTGGACTGCAAGAAGATCAAATCAGTCAATCCTAAAAGAAATCAACCCGGACTGTTCCCTGGAAGGCCAGATAATGGAACTGAAGCTCACATACTTTGGCCACCCAATGAGAAGGGAGCACTCACTGGAGAAGAAGACCCTGATGCTGGGAAAGACTGAAGGTCAAAGAAGACGGGGACGGCAAAGGATGAGAGGGTTGGACAGTGTCATAGATGCAACGAATATGAAATTGAGCAAACGGTGGAAAACAGGAGGGCCTGGCGAGATCTGGTCCATGGGGTCGCGAAGAGTCGGACTCGACTGTGCGACTGGACAACAACAACAACATTTTAACAGCTGAATTTCCATCAAGTATCAACAGGCTCCCGATGAGCCTCCAAAAATATCCAGAATGGGACACTTCCAGTTTCCCATTTCCAGCAGCCTGGCTACTGAGGGGTTAACAAACATGGCCACTCACCTCCGCCGGGCTAGGACGGTATACACTGCAGACACACAGTCAGCCGGGGCCTGGACCTCCACAAAGTAATAGGGCTCCATCAACCGTGGCGTGGCCTGAGAAAAGCAGAAAGGCGGAGGGACGTTCACGCTGAGCGGACGTTCCACCAAGAGGTGACCTGGTCTGCCTTCCTTCTCTGTCCTCAAATCAACCCTAACCCCCTTCGGCCTCCTTTCTTGCTCCCCCCCCCTCCGAAAGACCACACTGAAATATCCCAGCCGGGGGCACCTCTTTGCCTTCAGTTCAGTACTGGGAAACCAAGATTTTAACCGGAAGCCAAAATGACCTAGGCAGGATGAAACCAAGTTCCCGGAGAATTAGGGCAGGTTGACAAGTTGCACCCTGGCTTCTCTGTGTTGCTGCAGTCACACGTGACGTCCGGAAACGAGTCCTCGGGGAAAGCCCTTCTGCTGCCGCTGCACATCTGGGCCTGACTCAGACAGACACGGTGGGACGGAGAACAGCCAAGAGCCACATGTTACGAGGACAACGTTCTCTCACTCTCACAGAAGGGTTCCCAGATGAGCCTGACCCACAGGCAAGGTTTTTCGGGTGCTTAAGCACGACCACAACGCTGCCCTCTTTCCACTGAGTAGGCTCCATCCCCCCCCCC